CCAGGACACCAAGAAGTTCCATAACAGTACCAAGTTTAGCATCCCTTGAACCCGTACAGAAACCAAAGTTCCAAGTCAAGGACAAACGGGAAAAGGGGGAGGGGAGAAAATGGGAGACAACCTTATGCTTAAACAAGGAAATGGAATAGAGTGAAGGAAAGAGGTCTTTGAGGGTTGAGGCACCCACCAAAATATCTTCCCAAAACAAAACAGAGTTGCTAGAGCAAGTATCATACCTGACAAAGTTAAGAAATTCGCCAAGAGGCAACCTAACACCTCAAACATTCTGCCACAGAATCAATAGCCCCATCATCCAAGTTTATCCCTACCACACTACTCTTTTCCATATTTATTTTTAGATTTGAGACCCTCTCAAAGTAATCAAGCAAATTTTTAAGATTCCTCACTTTCCTTAGGTCAACCCCCTAACTTAAAATAAAAATGTCATCTACAAATTGGAGATGAGTCACTGGTACTCTATTCCTTCCTATTCTCCATCCTCTTATTGTCTCTTCCCTATCCGGCTTTGAGAGTAGCCTACTGAACACATCTGCTACAAGGGTAAAGAGAAAGGGGGAGAGGGGGTCTCCCTGCCTTAATCCTTTGGAAGCTAGAAAGAAGTCCTTAACCACACCATTTACCAACACTGAAAAGTGAGCAAAGCTAATGCAGCCCTTCACTCAATTACACCACCTATCCCCAAAACCACAATTCAACAGGAACTCCAAAAGGAAACTCCAGTCCACTAAGACATAAGCCTTTTCAAGGTCCAACTTACAAAGAACACCTTGCTGTCCTGTCCTCATATCCTCCACACATTCATTGGCTATGAGTATTTGATCAGCTATTTGTCTCGCTTGCACAAAGGCCCTTTGAGCTTGACTTATTAGAGGAGGTAGTACTGCTTTTAGCCTCAAAGGCAATACCTTTGCCAAAATTTTGTAGATACTCGTCACCAAACTAATCGATCTAAAATCCTTAGGGTGACTCACATCTAACTTTTTAGGAATTAAGGCTAAAAAAGTGGCATTGACTCCCCGACTCACTTGATGTCTATTGACAAACTCCTTAAAGATCCCAAGTAGGTCTTCTTTGACCACCTCCCAACAATCTTGATAAAAGGCAATTGTAAACCCATCTAGGCCAGGAGCTTTTGATCTGTCCATCATGAACACTACCCGTCTAATTTCCTCCTCATCAAACTCCCTTTCCAGCCAATTCAGACTTTCCTCACTTAAACATGGCCACTCTACTCCTAACCTGGACCTATTATTCAAAGGCCTTTGCAGCAAAGACTTGAAGTGGTCCACAAATTTCCTTGCCATTTCCTCCTGATCTGTGATCTCTTCACCATCAAATTCCAATTTGGCCACGAAATTTTCTCTTTCTTCCATTAGCTAGGTTATGAAAGTACTTAGATATCTCTTCTCTCAACAATGCTTCTTCCAAATCTTTCTAGAATTTTCGTCTCAACACCCTCCCTTGCTCATCTAAGACCCCTTAGGATTCTTTAGGATCAAGCTCCTCAGTTGGGATAGTAATAAGGTTTTTTGTTCTTCTAACCTCCCAAAAGTATCTTTATTCCACTCTTTTATCTTGGATCTAAGACTCTTTAGCTTTTTGTGAAATTTGACTCCCTGCCACTTAACCCCTCTTAAATCATCATTCCACCATTCTTCGACCTTTCACACAAAGTCAAGGTGAGTTAACCACATATTTTCAAATCTAAAGGGGCGAGGTCCTCCCAAGAGCCCCTGACCTAATTGAATTGGGAAATGATTAGAGGTTAATCTAGGTAATGCCCTAGCCACCAAATCCCTCCAAAGGTTTTTCCACCTTTCATTGAAAAGAAATCTATCCAGTTTAGAGCAAAGAGGTTTTCCTGAAAGTAAGAACATGTGTAATTAGCTTGCAGCAATGAAATCTCTTTCAGCTCACTGGTATCAATAAATTCATTGAATTTTCTCATGCTCGTAGTGACCGCATTCTGAGGGATGTTGGACTCATTACAAAATCTAATGACATTAAAATCTCCTCCTAAACACCAAAGTCCACCCCACAATCCATTGATTCCATACTATTCCTCCCATAATTCATTCCTCTCTCTATGATTATTTGACTCATACACATTAGTTACCCAAGTAAAACCATCACCCAAGTTTTTCAATTTCAAAGATATTGAATACCTTCCTATAAGCTCCTCTACTAATTCCACCACATCCTCTCTCCACATAGTGACTAAGCCTCCAGAGGCTCCCCAAGAAGGAGGCGAACTCCAACTCACTCCTCTAGATTTCCACACACTTCTTACCCAACTCCTGTCCAACTATGCTAACTTCACTTTCTACAATAAAACTATGTCAGGTCTCTCTCTCCACAAAAGTTCCTTAACCAACCTTCTTTTCCTTGCACTCCCCAAGCCTCTCACATCCCAACTGATAATCTTCATCCAGCCACACACTAATCACAGATCCCTCTTTGGGTTCGGTGATTCCTTAACAAGGACCCTTCCTTCTCTCCCCTTTACCACTAAACTCAATGTCTCCCTCAATATCGGAAATTAGTCTCCCCACCTCGGATCTCTTCTTCTTTTTGCATTTCTTTTTTTGATCCTTCTCATTTACTAACTCTCCTTCACCTGTTTGTTCTTCCCTAATCTAAGGATTTAATTTCTCCTCTTCCCCCACACCTCTCTTGTTTGGAAGTTCTAATTCTTCTTCCTTCTTGTACTCCTCCAATAAAGCACAGGTTTGGTTCCATATTCCTTCCAATTCCTCCTCTTGCTTCTTTTTTAGGATCAAGCCCAACTCACTATTCATATTTCCTAATTCGCACCTCCCTCCTTGCTCTGGTCTGATCAGCTGGGATGTTGAATAATCTGTTATAGGCACAGTGCACACATCAGTATCCAAAACCTAAAGGACAAAGTTACCTGCTTGGGTGGGAGCCGATGGACCTATCTCTGGAGCCAAAGATTCAAAGGCTAGGTTTAAGTCTAGATCCCTTCCCTGTTCCTGAGTCTGTTGTAGAAGGTTAGAGGTGGGAAACCGCTCTTTGTCAACTAAGGCATCCAAGCAAACCTTGACTGGCTAACTCCCTTCGGGTGTAACAATGCAAACCTTCCTAAACAAGTTTTGCATCTTCAAACTCAAGTTTTGTTTAGACTAAACTAAGAGGGCGGACTTCCTTGTTGGGGTAGGTGTTTCCTGAGCCCTGTCAGCATTCTCTGTCATACTCTTAAATATCATATGGACATTCTCAACTGCAGCGACTTCCCCATCTTCCTTAGAACCTCCTGACACTTCCTCAAAAAAAAAAAAAAAAACCAAAGAATCTCAGTTCCAAAATTATTTGCTTCCATTAGATTCATTGGTTGAGTTAAATCACATTCCCCAAGCTTGTTGTATCTTCTAGATCGAAATCACTTGTATCTTCATTGCCTAAAGAGCCTTCTCTGTTGCCTCTAAATCGCTTCACCTTAAACACCTAGGCCTCCATCTTTCTAGCGAGAGTCAAGGGACTAATTTCAAAGGAACCCATTGCAAGGAGGCTCCAGTGCTAACAGAAGTTGAGCAAACAGTCGCTTTGGATGAGGAATGCAACGAGGTAGAAGATAGACCCTTTTTAGCACCTATCAATTCCTTACTCCCCCCCATTGCGTGGCCACTTTAAGGTCGTGTGCCACTTTATGATTTCACCTTGGGCCTGCTAGCATCAACCCACTTCTTGTATTACTTTTCTTCAAAGGCTTGTCACAAGACAGCCCCATCCTAGCTGCTCAATTAGGCCTAGCCCCATGAGCTTGGGTTGGATGAGTCGGTCCATGTCCCCCAGTCTGGCCTGACCGCTTTGAGACACAATGAGAAATTTCCAATCGTCCAAAAGAATTTAAACTGCAGTATTCCTCCTAGATTTTCATCTCCTCAAATAGAAATTTTTTTACTTCAACTTTTAGAGTTCTTTTCCATCATGCCACACCCACAAACTCCTCCATTCCTCCTCCCAACCACAAACTCCTGGGTTAAGCCTCTATTCTTGTATTAGGAAAATAAGAAAAGAAAAGCTTAATCAACGATGATATTTTTAGTAATTGTTGATTGTCATCTTGCTTATTACATGATATCTCGCATTTCTTTCTCCTTTAATTCTATCCTTCCAATATTTCTTCCCTCTCCTAATCACCAAGCCTCATAGAAAAGTTGATTTTGGCACTGTAGTTAAATCATGCTGTTATGGTAGTTTATAAAAACTTAATAAACAAAAGCAACTAGAAGTTAGTCAGTTACCAATGAAAATGCAGTGTTTTCAACCTGTTGCCAACCCAGCCATCAGACTGGTGACCCATTCACAATCCCAGTTTGAGTCAACCGCTAATCAACTATATTACAAAAAAAAAACCTATTGACTTGGTCAACAACCCATTGACCAGAATGGTTGAACCATTGGCCCATCTGATCCGTTCAACAGGTCACCAGTTATTGTATATTTTAACTTTTAAATTTTTACAATGATGACATCATGGGTTGACTGAAACAGTTGAACTGCTGACGGGTTCACTGAAAGTAGTTAAACCTCCAGACCAGGCTTTAAAACACTACAATAAAATATAAAGATATTAAAAAAAAACAAATAATGCAAAAATTATGTAGATATACTTTTCTAATTTGAAAGAGTTTCCAATGTTATAAGAGGTATGTGAAAGATCATAATCATCATCTAAGCTTTGTCTCAACTATATCAGGTCAGCAACATGAATCCTGTTTCACCATTCTGTTCTGTTCAGTGCCATATCCATTGTCAAATTATGAGTGCTTAAATCATTTCTTACTACTTCAACCCATGTCCTTCCAGTCTGCCCCTAGCTCTTCTAGCTTTTCTGTGCCATATCCTTTGTAAAGATAAATATGAATAATGCAAATACATTAATGGCCAGCTAGCTGATGAGGTAGACTAGTAGAATTTAAAATAAATTGGAAATAGGGAAGATAAAGATGCCTAACCTTGCTCGCAATTTTCCCTTGTGGTCCAGTTTGTTTGGTGACAAGTATCTGCCCAAGCATCTTTCCTGCAAGCAATGGGATCAAAATCTAAAACAGGTAAATACAAAATAAAGAACAAGAATATTTTCAGAATTTTGTCAATATGTGCTCAATGCTGATAACTTCAATTATGTACAGTCAATACTAATGATGAATCCTGATAGATTGGGATGTCATGAGGATGTCTACAACAATAAGTTCAAAGAAAAAGTAATCTCCAAAAAGGAATATGAATATTTTCTCCAATTAAAACAATTACCAGAGTTCTACACTTAAGCCTAGAAGAACTTAGCTATTGGTGATAAGTAGCAAATATGTCACTACTAGGAACCATTGAGAGTCTCAAGACTTGAGAACCAAATGATGCCTCTAGAACCACCTACCATAGCCCTTGGAAACCCATCGGAATCCTCCATACCATTTGAACCACTTTCATCAGAAATAACAAAGGTTATGATCCACTTATTAAAATTGCAGAAGATTAACAAAGGGGCAACCCACATGTTTGTTCTTCCTTTCATCGAGTGATTAAGCTCCCATGCCAAAGATGTGCTCCTGCCTCCTGGATAATTTTGTTTCTCTCATTTCCCAGGTCCTTTCCAGCCTCAGGACCATTTTCCCTTGGAATTTTACTTCTTAACAAACATTTTTTATCAGACAGAATTTTATTAAATATTTAAAAAGAAAGAGGAATTACACAACAAGAGATTGTTAGATCAGAAATCCCTCTACAACAAAAGAATCCCACCACCCTGTTATAACTGAGCCCAATACAAATGATGTCTATGTACTCCTTGCTTAGCTAATCCATCTGCCAAGCAAATCTTCTTACCCATCTTACCTGAATGTTCACATGTTTTGACAGCATCTTGAAACGCCTGAATTCATTTATATATTGCCGTAACACCCCTTCCTTCCTTCAACCACCCAATTACTATCTTTGAATCCCCTTCCACAATCAAGAATTCTGCTCTCACTGAATCACCCTGTTCAATTGACCCCAAAAACAGTCCACAAATGTTCCCACCCTCATCCCGTATCACTCCAATTCCAAAAGGTCCCAGGTCGCCCAAACTACTTCCGTAAATTTAATTTTAAAGAAGTCTTCAATTGAAAGGGGGGATACCTCAAGGTTTTTTTGTTTCTTAGAGGAGGAATTAGTTATTGACCCCCAATTTCTAAAGAAGTCTTCCACTGTAAAATCTGAAAACAGTTCACAGTCTTCACCTAGTGTGCTACTCTTACTGTAACAATCTCGATAACTGCCTCTTTATTCCTTTCTTTATCGTCAAAGATTCTTGAATTCTCCCGCCCCCCCCCCCCAAAAAAAAAAAAAGAAAATTGTCCAAATTACTTTTGCCCTTGTACATTTCCACAAGATTCTGCCTTTTCTCTTTGTGCCCCTCAGAAAAGACCAGGTAAAAAGCCTATCAAAAACTAACAAGAGGATCCACCTGCAACCAAAAGGAAAGCAAAACAATACCCAAATACAGCAAAGAAATGGGGCAGGAGATTAAGAGGTGGTAAGCAGCCTCACCATTCTATGGAAGCCTCCAATTCATGCAGAAAGATGCTTTTCCTTGGGTTAAAATTTGGTGATCCCACATTCCATCAAAAATAGCCTACCTTATTTGGACAGCCACTCATGAAAGATACCAAACTACAGACAGATTGATAAGGAGATGCTTGCCCTGATCCAGTGCTCTTTTCTCCTTATTCCATGAACTCACAGAGTCCCCAAATCATCTTTTCGTTTATTGCAAGCACTCTTACAAACTATGGGCATTGACAACTTCCTGCTTTGGCTTTCACTTATGTTTCACAGAATCAGTTATATAGCTTCTGCAAGGCTGGAAAGGAATGAATAGGAAGGGTAAACTATAATTGAATACTTTCACTGCCACTATAATCTGGTTAATTTGAAAAGCAAGAAATCACCACATTTTTGGCAAAAAAAAAATCATGGATTTGGAGGAAATCAAAAGTTACCTTATAGGTTTGCTAAGTTCTTTTTTGCAAACCCGACCTTTTTTGGTTGAAACTTTTTCTTTATTTTTTTTTTTTTGTTTGCATATTCCCAATGTACAGGTCCTCATTGTACATGGGCTGATATACTTTCTTTAGCATGGCTTTATCAATACAATACTTTATTACCTTCTTCAAAAAAAATAAATAATAAAATGCAAGGAAAATTTTTCATACCAGAAATTTCTTCAACTTGATCAGTCTTAACGATATGAACTCCACCCTTAAGACCACTCTTGAAGGTTCCTAAGCCTCGTCCACCAGCAAGGATTTGGCTTTTAACCACCAACTACATTAAAAAGTGCTAGTTATTCACATTATTTAAATTTCCACCCAGATTGACCCACCAAATGAAAACATGTAAAACACCCACAAAATGCAAACATATAAAACACCTCGAGCATGCTCCATAAAACAAAGAGAATGCTTAGATTGCAAATATGATGAACAACAAAAACTTAAGGAAATAGACATATCTCCATATTAAATTCCCGGGGGGCATGAACCTTCAGTTACCTCGTTCTCCTTAGGAAATGCATCCTGAATCGCCTTTTTAACTTCTTCAACAGAAGAAACAGCAACACCCCTTGGCACATTGATCCCATACTTGCTCATCAATTCGGCCCCCTGTCGCATGTTCATCAGTCAGAAATAATCATCAAAACACCAAAACAACAACCCAAACGCTTGAATTAAAGAAGACAATCATATAATATTGAAGCTTCGTTTTTTCTAATGTCATCGAAGAACCAACAAAGATCCAAAAGAAGAAAACAACAACTATACTAGAAAGAACGGAAGGGTGATGACCTGATATTCGTGGATGTTGAGACGCCGGAGCTGCTGTTGCTGCCATTTCCCGGCAACAGAGAGAGACCGAGAAACGAGCTTGCCAAGCAATCCTCTCGCCATTCCTTAGATCCTCGAGCGAAGGACGGGGTATTCTAAGAGACGATGCCCTAAAAAACTGATGGAATGCTGCAGCTTAGATGGGAAGAACGATGTAGTTCAGCAGAGAAAAAGAAACAGAAAGCGACTGCCTAAATGGAAAATGTGACGGATCGTCGGCTCGTCATGTTGGTGCATGAAATTGGAATCGTCCTTCGAATGGCCGCTCTCTCTAAATACGTGGAGAAAGCGTACGAATCGTTTGCATTCCAATATTTTTCGAAAAAAAAATTATCTAATATTTCATTTTTTAATTAAAAATTAGGACGTTTTACAAATTACCACCCTATAACAAAGTAAAAGTATTTGTATATGTAACAAGCTTGAGTAGGGATGTGTATTGTGATACGCTTTTGATATGTATTATGATAGACTTATATATGCATGGAAAGGTAGATGATGGGACTTTCTGGTATCAAAATTTATTTTTATTTATAGTGACTTCAAGATCTAAAGCATTGATTAACCAATTTGGTTAACGTTCGGATGAGAAAGGGGAGAAGTTAGTTACTCCTCTAGGCCCACATCAAATTCCAAATAATCATAAATAAAAATGAGTAATTCATTTACTAACTAATAGCAATTAATAATCAATAAAAAACAAATCATGAATAAACCATCACAATAAAAATCCCCTAATTAAATTTTTATTTTATTTGATTTCTTTTTTTACTTTTTGAATTTCATTTTATCATTTGTTTGTGTTATTTTCTTATGGATCCCAATTTTTATTTTTCTATTTTCTAATAATTTATTTTTGAATCTTTTAATTTTTTTATTCTTTTTTACTTTTATATACTTTTTTACTTCATTTTTTATTAGAGTAGCTTGTTCCTTCTATTTCGTTAGCCTTATCACTTTGGCCACGTCGGCACCACGTCATCGGATAAGCACAACCAAGACAAGAGAGTGTCGTATGGATAAGAATGACAATTTCGTCGGGGATTAGGCCTTATTCGAAGACCTCGGCAGACAACCTCATCCCGACAATCCTAGAAGCCTCATTCGAATCGGACATGGATCTTTAGCTATAAGTAGGTAACCCCCGCTCGAGGTAAGGGACTTTTGACTTCCTGCTTCCATACTGTGACTTTGTCTGAACCAGAACTGTTCTCTTAATTGCTTGGCCCGGCCACCTACCATTCTTGATTAACTTGAGCGTCGGAGTACCTAATCAGGGGATAACTCCTTAGGCCTCTGACCACCTTCTTAGTTTCAGATCTTGGAGCGCAGCTTCATCCTTCCACCTTGGCTCTGCCCAATTGGCATGATTATCTAACTACAACCTCGGTTCAAGAAACACCTCGGATCGAGCAACATTAGATTGGCAATGCAGTGGGTTCATTGAGGGTTTTGTAAATTCTAAATCCAACCTACCTCTCTAGATCCGTAGCAGGTTGGATTTTCAAAACCCTCCCTGACCTTACCCTCCTTGCATTTAAGGGTGGGTTGGTCGGGTTGGCTGGTTGGTTTTAGAACTCATATCTAATTTCCTATGATATATAAGCAATAAACAAGTAAAATAACATGAACAAGCATCAAAATTCCTAATTATTTGATTAAAACATGAAAAAAATACATAAGCTATCAATTATTCTTCACATAAAATTTAAAATATTATTAAATTCAACACCTAATGCATAAGTCGACATGCCTTCAAACAGTATGTGGGTTAGGTAGGGTCGGGTTTACCCTAATACCATACCCTACCCACACACGTATGGATTAAAAAATCCCAAACCCACACCCACCCTATTGAGGCTAGTAGGGACGGGTACTCGTTGGGTAGGATAGAAATTGCCATCCCTAATTTTATATTGTTAAAAGTATTAGATATAGATTTAGGTAAAGAACTTACCAGTGAGAAAAACTAGCTTAAATATAAGATTTAATGAGAGAGAATGAGAGTTAATACCTTAAATATAAGACTTAATGAAAATGAACTGAATGAGGTAAAAATTACTAGTTCAAATTACATTTTCCCCTCAAAATTAGAGAATGATCAAATTTAAAAACAGGGCATTTTAGTTAAGAATAGGAATATATATCAGACTTTTTTTGTCAAAAATATATAACTTAATGACAGAAAAATAAATAACCTGGATAGTAGTAGTTCAAATTACATTTTATGTCCTTACAATTATAGAGGGAAAAATTCAAAAATTAGAGCATTTTAATCAAACAAAAGTTTGGATGGGGCAAAGAGATTTTTGGATCAAGCAACCCCTGAACTTTGAAAATAGGCCACTTTAGACTCAAAAGTTTAAGAAGGGCCATTTTCAATATCAAACTTCGATGGAAAAACCACATTAAGACAAAAAGGGATGAAGTTGGAGACATCATTGACATTTCCATTAGACAATGAATAGAACAATAAAGCATGCTTGTGTGGCACTACTCAAGTCAAAAAATTTGGAAAATTACAAATAACTTTAGACCCTAAAGTTTGAAAAGGCCATTTTAGATGTTAAAAATCTATTAAATAAAAAATAAATTTTATTAATTTTATCATGATTGCAATGATTCTTGAAGTATATTACTTCAATAATTTTATTAAATTAGTCAATAAATTAATAGGAGTAAATTAACAACAATGATAAGGGGGTCTATGTTGGCATAACAGTAAATACACTAAATTAGCTTAATTAATACTAAATTAACAATTACTTAATTTACTAAATTAACATAGTTAACTTAGGAACTCAATTTGCTTAATTAACTAATTTATTTTCATCAATTACCTTATTTACTTATCGCTTATTTTACTTAATTTACTTTTTTACCTTAATTAGCTTTGGTTATTTAAAAACTCTATTTACTTATCTTATTTTACTTAATTGACTTAATCAATTGTTTAATTTACATAGTTGGCTTAATTATTAGACAATGAATAAAATAATAAAGCATGCTTATGTGGCACTACTCAAGTCAAAAAATTTGAAAAATTACAAACCACTTTAGACCCTAAAGTTTGAAATTGCCACTTTAGATATTAAAAATCTATTGATTAAAAAATTAATTTACTAATTTTATCATGATTGTAATGATCTTTTAAGTAAATTATAATTTTAAGAAATTAGAGTCATTAAATTAATAATAGTAAATAATTAAGAGTAAATTAACAATAATGATAAAGGGGTCTATGATGGCATGGCAACAAATAATTAGTCGTTAAATTAATAATAATTAAGAGTAAATTATCATTTAAGCACTAACTTAATTATCTTAGCTAATAGTGAATTAACAATCACTTAATTTAGTCAATTAACTTAGTAAACTTAGTAAACCAATTTGCTAAATTAAACTAACTTATTTAATTTTTTAATTACTTTATTATTTCTTACTTTACTTAATTAATAGTAACTTAATTTACTTATTTACCTTAATTAACTTTGTTTATTTAAAAACTCTATTTACTTAGTTTAAGTTACTTAATTGACTTAATTTACATAATTGGATTAATTATTTTAATTAGTGTAATTTATTTAATTTAGTCAATTAACTTTATACCATTATAGACCCTTGAAGTATTTTCAAACTTTAGGGTCTAAAGTGGCTTGTAAATTTGAAAACTTTTTAACTTGAGTAGTGTCACATTGTTTTATTTATTATCTAATGGAACCATTGACGACGTTTCCAATGTTGCCCTTTTTTGGCTTAACATGGCTTTTTCCATTAGAATTTGAGGGTGAAAACAGCCCTTTTCAAACTTCAAAGTCTAAAATGGCCCTTTTTCAAAGTTAAAATAGAGTCAGAAAAACTGAAAAAGTGTTGAAATCCGAAAGCTCGATGGGATTTTGTCAAACTTTTCAAACTTCTAAGTCTAAAATGGCCCTTTTTCAGTTGTAAACACTTACATTAATGATGATGCCACAGAACAATTAATGAATACTAAACAGTCTAAATAGTGAAATTTAACATAGAAAGCTACCATATTTTGGGGTGAGAATGTTAAGAGTGTTATCAAATGATCAATGATCATGGTTTTCAAAACCGGACCAGACCGGACGGTCGGACCGGAAAATCGGGAACCGGTCACTTGATTGGTTCCGTTTCCCCAAAACCGTTGATTTTGGTCAGCAAACCGATGAACCGGCTGATTAACCGTTCGAACGGTTTTGACCATTTTCCAACTTTTCTTATTTTTTTGTCAGAATGGGCTGGCCGTTCGGATCGAACGGTCAAACCGTTTGAACCGGTAACCGAACCCTTGACCGGTTCGTTTTTAAAACCATGTCAATGATAGCTGTTCAAATTGGGTATCCTAACTTTGAAGTATTCAAATCTTAACAAATGCTCCACCTGAGCCTGCCCAAGTTGCAGCTAAGGGTGTCAATGGACCAGTTTTGGATTGACCCCGTCCAGTCTAAAATTCCTTTTGCCTTATGTCAACCTAACCAAGCAGTCGACTCAGTGCTGACATGGGAAAAACTTATTGAGCTCCTCAACCCATTCCTATTTTAGATATTTTGTTATAATAGCATACTTTTGTTTTTCATTTTTCCTAGTAGTTTAGTTGCAACTTCTTACGATGAAGGCTCTGCTATTGTTAGAAAATAACAGTTTGGTCCTCGAAACTTTTCTTAATAGCCATGTGCCTGAACTGAATGACATTGCTTTGTTTTTAGTGAACAAGTTGTTAAGAAAGCTGAAGCTGAACTTGGATTGATTGCTAATACCCTCAAATATTTTATTATTTAAAATATTGCTAAAAGACAAAGCAATATGTCATATTTCAGTTCAGCTATTTCCACTGTTATCAAACATCCCCAAGGCATAGTTTGGAAATAATAAAAATACAAATATTTAGAATGCATAGGGGATTTGTTCCTGAATAATAAATCCCCTATGCATTCTATGTGGCTGGGACATGCTGTGAGGAGCAAATCTGGACTCATGTAGAGTGCAAAATCTTGTACCCAAGATATATTTTAAGCATTAAATCCAATTTGGCACCCAATCTGAACTAACCAAATGCACAAAGGAGATTACACATAGTCTTGCCTGTCCTTCTGTACAGCCTTTAAGTACATTATTTCACATTAAAAGACTAGGCTCCTGTTGCCAACATTTATCAAGATTACCTGCTTCTTCTTGTTCCAGACTTACTTTACAACCCCACAAACAATTTCAGTCATCTGAATCCATCTCACGAAATGGTAATGGAACTGTCTTCACTGCCCTGAATTTGCCTACATTGTTCAAATGCTCATTCTCCAATCTGTTCAGTCATGGAAAATTGATGTTTCAGGAATGGCCCTATATTTCTTACTAGAAAAGGAATGTATATAAATCTTATGTTTCAACTGTATATGGCTTAACTTCCAAGTGTGCAAAGTACAATTAGTTCTGTGTATTCCAAAAGAAAAAAGGCAAAGTACCTGTAGAAATTCCAATGCCCACGTCGTATTACTTCAAGTGAAGCCAAGAAAAAATCTAGCAGCCGAGACTCAACAGTATGCAAGTTAAAGTGCATAACGGTCTCCACCCAAACAAGTCTTAGAACCAGATTTAAGGCCTAGAGTTCAATAAAGTGTTGTTTAGGAATTATAGTGCAGCCTGAGAAGAGATAAACACTGAAGTCTTACTGAGGTAAAGAGAACTCACAATGGAAACATAGTAGATGCACTTATTCTTTAAGATCAGATCATCTCTAAGCCAGGGATTTTTGGATTTTCGGTTGAGAAGCCCCCAATCCTTGATGAAATCCCAATATAACTGATAAACAGTTGCTATTGAAGAAGTAATTATGACCATAACCAGCCACAGTTGAGTAGGCTGCATGGCAAATGTTAGCCTGGCACCAGCTGCCAGCATGGCAGAAACATACTTCCCCAAGTTAGCCAAATGGTTGACATCTCCTTCATCGAGCCATCTTCTAAAACACTTGTAAATACATCAATTTACCAAATGTTAGTCATGGTAGTTGAGAGTCAATAAGATTTCTTCTATTGTAATAAAGAATCAATAGAATTGAGAATATATATTCTTTCAACTTGAAAATTTTTCAGTTTCTCTTAAATTTTCAAATATTTATTAACCCTTCTACATTGAATTTGGAATTTTGGATGATCTTGGTAACCGCAATGTCACTCTATGTTTGATGTTTAGGCTCAGTTTGTTTGATGTTTGAATTGCATTTGCATAGGAGTGCAAATAGGTTGAGTGTAAATTCTGGTTTGCTTTTTGATGATCCACAATCCGGCGGGCCAAATTTCCCTTCATCACTTTTGATTCAGATTTCACTGTGTCTTATTTGTTTAAGAGAAGTAAAATGAAGTAGTCCCCACCTAACAGCTTAAACTTTTAGGTTGAATGGTTCCTTGATAAGGTATCAGAGCCTTATAATTAATTAAATTTCACAAGGAATGAGTGGGCCAATGCTTATCAATGCTTCAAGCCTGATGGGTTTTTGTGTGAGGGAGTGTGTTAGAGAATTAAAACCTATTTAGGTTCCTTGACAAGATTACTATAAGAACAATCAAAATAGAATTAAGTTCTTTTATATGCACTTATGTCCTCATGTAGTAAATAGTAATGCTTTCAGTTTAAAACACTAGGAATTTAGGGTTCCATACTAAGTTGTTAAACCAGAGGCCATATTACATTACAATATGCAATACATAGATGTAGGAACATGTGAAATTGTGAATAACAGCTTCTTAATATACCTGCATAGCACGCCAGTAGTATGGCAGAAATGAGACAACATAAGCAAGCTCCTTGTAAAGCTTACTAGAGTTGCAGGTATGGTACCGGTGAGCTTTGAAGCTTCCTGCAAGAAAGTAGCAGGCTGTAGACTCCATGTGTCTTAGCAATGGAATCTGAAGACAAAAGAAAGAAATGCTTACCCATTAGAGAAGCAAAATAAGGAAACAAAAGCATCTTTCAAACACACTTCTATGATTTGTACTGATACACTTTTTGTTGTAATTTATTAATTTGTTAGGCTAAACAAGTTTACAGATTCAAATAAGCTCTGAGCTTATAGTGTGGAAGATTACCTGGCTAGTTAATTGGTCAGCCATGAAGAAGTCTACCATCACAACCTGGAATTTGCATGTTGTGAATCAGAAGATGCTTAGTTTCTAGACCTTAGAGCATTTTGTAGATTCAAAGGCATGATTGGCCAGAAAGAAAGGGAAATTGATTAAATGAAAATGAAAAATATCTGTACCTTATAAAATGGAGAGCATATGATGTTACGCATAACTCGGATAAAGCAGTATCGAGTTGAGCGGTAGAAAATGTTGAATGGACATATAAGCAATCCTATGTAAAACTGAAAATGGAATTGGAAAGTTATACACAGGCTCAAATGTTTCTCTGTATACATTATATGTAGAATATAAGCAATCCTAAGTCTAAGAGATATGTATTTCTCTCTATACATTTTATGTGGAATATAGCTAAAGGAGTCAGATAAGTCCAATGCAAATGTTTCTTCAATAATGGAGCATATAACCACAAGGTCATGAATTTAAGTTCAGAGAAAAATGAAGAAAGAATAACATCTCTCTGACACAGTAAGTGAGATGTGTATTGTTAGAGGGAACATGTTTTGGGAAGTAATATTCCATCAGGATGAACAGACTCCATTTTTCCAGGATCAGACAACAAAATTCCATTCAACGCATGTCTGGGCTCTAAAGGTTACAAGAACAGGACTTAGTCTAATGAGTTAGACTGATTCAAGTGTTATTCAACTTAGCAAAGCATTGTCCCAGCAACTATTCTATGTCTGTTGCAGGAATCCAATCTATATTCTACTCATTATTTGAAAATTCTCAAATGTTAATAGTTTAAATTCTCATTCAATTTGAACTACCATAATGGATTCCTTAACTGAACTGAACTCAACTAAGCCTTAACCCAAGTACATGGGTTGTCTACATGTATCCTGTTCTGCCACTCCACTGTTTAGTGCTATATCCATTGTTAGATTATGCTCAAACCATTTCTACATTTCTAACTACTATAATCCATGTCCTTATTGACCTGCCCCTATCATATGATATGCTGGCTGCAAATTGTATACTAGTAATAATAACTTCCCTTGCAATTGAAGTCTGTAAACTATGACTGCTCAAGTTATCTAACTAGAACTGAAGAACTGATATTTAACAAAATGAAAGCAAGCATTAAGAACTTTCAAGTGGTTAAATCTCACCAGAAGGAGAACCCCGGGGATTGCATCGACTTGTTGTGGCAAAAACCCATTGGATCTCAAAAGGAGGTGGATGACCATGGCTGCCACAACTGTTGTCATAAAGGAGGTGCAGATCAAGAAGGCATCTCTGTACTTGAGAGCTGTGCTGGGTGGAAATTCAAATATGAAATTGTAGTTGATCCTAGTGCTCCTCCACATGAATAGGTTGCACCCATACATAAACAAGTGCAAACTAAGCAGGGCAAACATGCTACACAAAATCAATAGCAATCTGTTAGTACTAAACCCAATTTTAGAACAATTTGTTGCTACTTTTCCACCTTTAGTTAGTTTGTTATATTTTTCTAAGGAACCCTTTATTGTTCCTCATTCATATTTTTAGTGAGTGAGCCTATAAGATTGAATAGAAATTTCGTAAGAATTAAGCTTTAGAAAATGATTTTTGTGCATACCAATTAATAAAACAAGTGTTTGAGGACGATGGGAGTTTTTTAATAAAAAATCATGAAATTTCATTTCAATGATTATTTCATAATGTTTGAATAAGTATGAGATATGAGAAATAAATGATGATATATAACTAATATTTATATAAAAATAAATAAATAAAAAAACAAACCTTCCTCATAGATAGCTTTACAATCATAGTGGTATCCAGTTTTACCATAAGTCAAAATTAAAGAAAAAAGTGCAACACACGAGTGAGAAGATTTTGAACAACCTAACCAACCCCATCCAAACCCATCTGAGCCCATCACATTTTATGTTGGGTTTAGCCTATGTGAGGTTTGGGTTGGCAAACTTGGGCTTTCACCATAATCTGGGTCTGGTCTAAAGGCCCATGCAAAGTGTTAGGCTTGGATTCACCCTACCTGAACCAACCTATTCAATTTATGCCCCTACTTTATTAGGTAGAGATAAGAGGGGCTCAAAGTGATTTAAGAGGAAAGAAAGTGGGATCTAATGGGGAAGGGGAAAGGGTACAAATATTAGGGAGGGGGAAGTTAAAAGGATTTTATTGGTTAGAGAGAGAGAGTCATGATGGGGTTTCCACTTTCCAGAGAGAATGAATACTTGAGAGGTTTGTGATTTTCTTTTTTATATTTTCATTTTAAAAATAAATAACCCACCAGTGTGAAAAGGGTGAAATGAAGGAACTCCACGTGAGCATTGAGGTCTTATGACTTCCAGCATTTAAACTTGACAAATGCCATGGATCGAGGTATTAAAAAAAGAGAGAAAAAAAGTAAGCAAAATAACCCCAATAATCAATCAGTTACATTATTGTAAATTTGTTGTTGTTGGATTTGAAAACACCCCTATTTGATTAAGAGTGCAAACCCCTAAGGCTCAGTTTGGAAGGAGTACAAATATAAATATGTATAGTACAAATACATATAAAATAACATAAAATATAAGGATTTGCACTCTACATATTTGTATTTGTAGCCTAATTGTTTGTCAAGAGGTACATACACACCTTTCCATATTATGGTATTGTTTGGTATTATTGCCACTTTTACTTAAACAGTTGGTCAATATAAAAATTTATCAGACAGGAAAGTCATTATACTACAAAAGTCTTAACCTTTAGGCTATGTTTGGTTTGAAGGAAAAGATAAGGAAGGGAAAGGTAAGGAAACCCTTACAAATCAAGCATAGCCTTAAATTAAAATTGTGGATACATATACATACATATGCATATAGACACACATACATACAAATGGATGTATGTGTACAAATTATATATAGACACTATACACATGTATGCAAATATGAATATAATGTTGGGTTTAGGTTAGCTTGGGTTTGGTTTCTTGATGCTTCAACCCTAACTCGACCTTCAACCCAACGCAACCATTTAACTTTTTTTTTGGGTTTGGACTAACCTGGTCCAAGTTGCATGTTGTATGCCTGCTCATCATCATCATCATCATCATCATCATCATCTAGGTTTGAGCTTGAGGTAATCTATCATCCTATCGTGTACATGCCCTGAGAGAATGACATCTAACCTCACATTGGGAATTCTCCCATACTTGTATGTTATTGAGACATGTTCCCTATGGTTGGATGTGATGCTCCCAAGGTATCTACACGCGGACGCGCCTTTTGCTTTCAGGAGATCCCATCTAACAGTTTGGGTACCTGAGTTGAAGATTTTTCATGTATCGGGCTTGGGCCTCAGGCCGGGCCCATTTAGAATTTAACAAAAACTCAACTCAAACCCGCCTAAGTTGCACATCCCAGATTGAAATCAATAAAAGTCTATTTAATTTAAATAAATATATTATGTTTGAATTCACTATTCCCTAATTAATTAAATTGAATTTTGGAAAAAATTACTATTAAAATTAAAATCTAATATTTTATTAAAGCTATAATATAAAGAGAAATTACAAAAAACAAAAGATCTTGAGAAATTTCCCAAATTTTGGTACCTGAAAACCGGGTAAACGGTTTCCATGAATCCAGCTTCCGTTCTTGCCGAGAACATACCGGACAAGTGAGCCAAGATTGCGTATACACCGAATAGCGTAACAAAACAACCCGTGAAGAGGCCTGTAACAACATCCAGCTGATCATCAGGCTTGGTATAATCTAACCCAATAATGCATATTTTTCTTCTTCTTTCTCACCTTTGATCATACAAAATGAAAACTCCCAACGATCTCGATGGACCCACAATTCGTGCATCAGAACCGTCCATCAATACGTAGAAGAGAGAGCCAATAGCGGTCAAAAGTTAACAAAAGTCTGGTTATTTGTTCGGGTCGGGGTGTAGGTCAATCGGGTTCGGGTTAAAACATGCAAAACCCGATTTGACATCGCTAAGCAAGCGTAGTAAGTATCACTATCAGGGTTGACTAGGCCCGCATGATCAGGGTGGGTGTAAGGCCTTTTAAAGTGAGAAGTACCAACAAAAAAAAGTCAGCAGCAGCTGTTAGAGACAAGCTGAAGCACAATTGAATTTGCTTGTAGTCATACAATACGGTAAGCAAAAAACAACCCAATGCATCAACCCTGATCCGCCTAAAGAGATCGGGTCGGATCGATTAGGATTCTATGCTTGCACTATACTACCATACATAAGTAGCAATGCCATCCATTTTGGTGGCTTTACTTGCAAATGGGTTAGGGTTGGGCCCACAATCAGACTTCAAGAATTTCGACTGACTGCACTGAATTTGGGTCTATTTGACTTTTGAAGTATGCCAATCCGACCCGTTCCGACCCGACCCGAATGAACTATCACCCCCCATTGGAAAGTGGAATATGTCTTGGCTGTAGAGCACATGTTTTTTGGTGGTGCTGGTGCAGTTCAAAACCCACACTCCAACACGGTACATAACAGTACAACACATTGTGTGGTGTGGACTGTGGGGTGGTTCAATGATCAATGATCAATCAAGGTGGATTCAAGTGCAGTAGTGCACCTACAGGTCCACAACGATGTGGTTGAATCCACAGTAAATCAGATTTACCCCACACAACCAAACACCACCTAAGTACTTCATCTGTCAGAAAAGAAAAGGAATGAAAATAGGAAGCATGTGAGTCAGTGAGTGCAGTGAATCCATCCACGTCGAAGTATCCAAAAATGGGTTGTCTCTCCCTTTTATTAGTTATTAGTGTGTGGGCTTCTAAAGGACAACCAAACCGTTTGATACAGCACAGTGGTCAAAGGGATTCCATTTTCGAGTCAATTTTTAAAACTATACAAAAAGACAAAAATGATAAATCATTCAATTAAGCAATTTCAGCTATTATCAAGGTGGGGAGGAAGATTTTTCATTACCAACAAAGAAGGTGATCATGTGAGAATCCTTGTTCTGTTGGGGTTTGAGAAACTTCATTGCTCTTTTCCTGTCGTTGTTGGCGAAGTGCTGTGTGAAGATGGACTCCACTTCATCCGCCAGTCTTACCACCTTCACCCACACACACCCTCAGGTAAATAAATAATTCAATAAACTCTTCAATCATCCACTCAAATTGATCAGTAATTACCAAATGTTCATAATAAATTTGATAAAAAGGGTATAATTTCTTTTGTGTATATCCATGAATCTATGTTATAAATTATTTTTGCTTGAAAATCCAAAAAGAAACATGTCCTATTATACCGGGAAAATTTATGATGCCAAAAACACATGATATTGGAAGAGGTTTTACCAATCAAAACCCATCAGTGAATTTTGATAAATTCTATTTGATTGGTTAACATGTTTATGATACTGGTTGATTGGTCACAATTTTTTTAGATATCATGTATTTTTGGTATCATAATCGATAACTCAACCAAATTAAGGATCATGACCCTCTTATTTAAATTCAAAACTTTGAAGAATATTCACCACGAGGATGTGCTTGATTTGACAGAAAATAAGAGAGAAATAGAAATTAATACAAATACATACAAAATAATACAAAATATAAGAATTTGCACTCTATATATTTATATTTGTACTTCTTCCAAACTGAGCAGGGAAAAGAATTTGCAGTTTCGAGAGTGCAAATTCTAGTTTACTTTTGCTTTAGAGATTTGACTTTGTCCTATTTGCTTGTGAGAAATAAAATAGAAAATAAAATGAAGCGGTCTCCACTAAAAGAGAATGGAGATGGGAAGAAGAAAATTTGTTTATTTGGTAGGTAGGACTTAGGAGGCAAGATGATATGGCTCCCACTTTATATGAGAGAGAATTGAGGTAAGAAGAAAGTGGTATAATTTTTCTATTAGTTTTTTGAATGCAAAATATGCACATCTAGTAAATACAAATGAGAGACCAAAAGTATAAAGTTGTATTAATTAAGAGGGCAAATTATAATTACAAATAAATGGATGCAAAATCACATTTGCACTGCAAACAAATATAGCCTAATGCTCAGTTTGGAAGGAGTACAAATAAAAATATATACAGTACAAATATATACAAAATATAAAGTTTTGTACTCTACAAATTTATATTTATACTCCTTCCAAACTGATAAGCTAATGCTTAGTTTGGAAAGAATACAAATACAAATACATACAAAATAATATAAAATATAAAATTTTGTACTCTATATATTTATATTTATACTCCTTCCAAACTGAGCCTAAAGAATTTTGTGAAACTCCTTATTTTACAAACCGATTTAGATTATTTTGTACCGTCCTTAATTCATTTTTTATTTATTTATTGATAGTTATCCTTTATTCATTCTTTGTTCTTTGTATTGGTGTACAATAAGCATCCTTGCTTTCGTACCGATAGAAGCACCTGTCTGAGTTTAATTAGCTAAGGCATCTAAACTACACCATACCTTGTCGGAACTGATGAAATGTGATCTCTTCACCGCTTTCAGATAACTTTCAGAAGCTTGTTGGTTTGCCACCTATTCACATAATCATCCTTTTTGGAACAAAATCAAGAAGAAGGAGATTGACCCAGATATAAATCCCAACCAGTGGCCGGGTCGGTTCAACCGGTTTGACTATTATAGCTTGTTCATTTGCTTAAATCACTGGTTTTAGTATTTTTCAATTTAAAACAGAACTAGCTTAATAGCTTATCATCCGGTTTTCACCCAGTTGCAACACTGGGTCAACCGGTCCATGGGTTGGGTTGGTCTAGCTTTTATATATTATTGTTCTTGTGTGGTAATTTGGTGTTGATGAATTCAGCTTACCTTGTCGAACTTCTTAAGTATCTTTGTAAAAGCCACCATATTCAATGAGCTGCCAATAAACAGAGCAAAAGATCTTTCATAAGCCTCTAAATTTAGATGGATAAAAGTACAGACAATGTAAAATGGCATCAACCCGAACCCAACTCGAGTTAAAGTATTGAAAGCATAACCCGACCCTACGACCGAACCTGATGCTGTAGGGCCGGGTCAGGCCAGGTTTACATGTAACCCGACCCATTGACACCCTACAGTTAAAGGACAGAAAAGTCGTTTACCAGAGAACCTGAAACTCTATCAGACTTTAAATGACAATTCTACCCTTAACGTGCAACTTAATCCTACCACCTCTCATGGTGCTTGCATTACCAAATTAAGACAATATAGCTTTCAGTTATTATCATCTATACGGTTAAGGATCTCCCATCGTCACCTGTAAGTTTTCAGTAGAGTCAGTCCTTTGTAGAGCTCCACGAAAGCTCCTCTGATAATCTTTTCTGCACACTGGATCTTCTTCCTGTTAATGGAGTCTCCCGCGCTTTCCTTTTTAGGGTTATTTACAAGATCCTCCCAAAGCATCGACGTGACCGCCGTTATTGTTCTCGTCGGAGTTGTCGCCGGAATATCGACCCTTATTGCCATCTTTGTCTTCCCTTTCTTTGTCTTTGTTGGAGCAGGCGAGCCCGCCATAAGATTCACGCCATTCCTCTCCAACGCTGCAAGCATGTCGTTGGTTGCTGCAGGCGTCTCATCGGGCAGAGTCTCGTCGGTTTCGGTATAAATTTCTGTGCAATATCAAATATTAGCTTAGTTAGTCATCAATTCCTTCTCCAGATATATTAGATTAACAAGATGGTCAAGAGCAAGAAAGCAAACCTGAATGATGGGAGCTTCGGACGGACGAAGAGTTGGAACGAGGAAGTGCTCCGGCATCCAACCTCGACTGAAGATTCTTCCGGCGACGTTCATGAATTATTTGTTTCAGCTCAAGAAGTATTTGGAGCTGTTTGTTGAGGATTTCTCCTCTCTCTACAAATTCACTCTCTTTGCTTCTGTAGAACTGGTTCACTTTGTTAAGTTCTTCATCCAACCTGCTAAAGAACTCCTTCACCTGTTCTCCACGCCCCAGAATAGAAAACAACAGCAATAAACAGTCTGAGATGGGCTCTAGAATCAATACTTGTTGTTCTCTCTGGAGATTCTTTTGAACTAATTATTTCCTTTCATACTAAAATCAAGAAATCCATTAGAGTAGAAATTAAAGAAATTACAGAAAAAAAAAAGAAAATAAAAGTTACCTCATCTTCCTCTGAAAACAACTGAACAAGCTCGGTTTCGTAGAGATCTTCCTCGTCACCTCCGCTGTTTCTGCTTCTCACCTACATGCAGTTAAAAAAATAGTATATTATATTTTTAATTAATTGAATTTAATTCCCAACTGATGATTGTCATATTCTGTTCTTTCAGTTACAATGATTTCGTGATACCAACGGCTTACATCTCTATCTCCAATCTTCATATCGCAAGATAGCAGCGAGATCATAAAACTGAAAAACTTTACTTCGAAAACTTTGCTGGGACCCGACGACATTTCTTACTTTCCGGGAACTTTAAGGTTGAAAACTAGGGGACTAGATTCTGAACCAGTTAATGAATCTCCCCGAAAATGATCACCGGAGATTCTCCTTTTCGGCGAAAAGATGGGATTGAATCGTAAGATATATATGTTAAAAAAAAGGAATTGTAAGATATATACTTAAATATATGTAACGGGGAATGCGACGGAGTTTCTGGACTCACTAAGTCGACACGTAAACGAAATCGAGAGAACCTGACAGAAAATTAAAAACAGCTGAGAAAGAAGATGGGAAACGTAAATCAGACATGGAAAATCCATGTCATCGTGATGTCTCACAGAAAACTGGAAAAAGGAAGAGGAAACAGAAGAACGAAAACAAGCTCGAAATAAACTTCTGTTATTTTTCTGTTTGCAACTTCCAAAAAGAAAAACTTGCCGGAAAACTGACTCCATTACCGGAAATCTGATAAAAGCTATCGACCCATATGCCTGGGTCTCAAGGAGTGAACTTCACCAGTAACTTAGAGCACGTCACCAGAAACCCAACAAAGAACTAAAAAATTTCAAATAAAAAAATCTGTGAATTACAAAAAAAGCAGGAACGAAAGATGAAAAATTGAAAACTGAAACATAAAGAAAAAAAGAATATATTTTGAATAATCCATCACTCTATTACCCTGGCTACGTGGTTTCTACCTGAATTATCTCGGTTTGGACACCACCACTGCGAAACCTGGTGGTGATTTTATTTGCAATGCTGCGAATGGGGTTCAAGAGCGAGGACCCAAATTCATGTTTGTATTGGGTTTCTTCTGGGTTTCTGGAAATCTTAAGCTTAATCTCCTTCACGTTTTTCTTTAGTTGCCGGTAATTCACGAACGCATCTTTCCACTCGGGAATCAATTGAGCCTCAAGATCCTTCGAAAATTTCACCATTCTGTTTTTAATTTTGAAGAAAAACGAAAAGAAAGAAGAAGATGAATAGAGGGCGAAGCAGATTTCTCTCTTTTCTGGTTTGTACATAGAGATAGCTATAGACAATATAAAGGGAGACAATGCAGATTTCTCTCTTTTCTGGACCCACCACTGACTGAAAGATAATAGTTTGGAAAAGTACTGACTAATGCAGATTTCTGAATTACAATAAACATTCAAAATGTCAAAAAGAATTGGCATCGATTCCGACCTGGCTGAAAGATAGTTCGGAAAAGCACTGACAGGTCTAATGCAGATTTCTCCCAAGATAGTTTAAGAGGATTACGGAGAGACTTTTAGAGAGGGAAAGAGAGAGACTCATAGGGAAAAATATTTTCCATTAACGGTATTGATAATTAAAAAAAGACCGTCTTACCCAAGGGGTGCTCACGGTTCGGTTAACTGAATCGTGGGTATTTTTTGGACCGAACTGGTAGGACCGGTCTTTTGAAAACCGGTAATCAGAACTGAACCGAAATTAGTCGATTAGCCATCGGTTCAGTTTGCTGGTTTTTCGATTTTTTAGTTTTAACAATGTATGTTATAAAAATATATATAAATATATAATAAAAATAAAAATAAATAATATATAATATATTATAAATATATATAATTATATATAATATATATTTATTAATTTATAATATATAAAATATAAGATATATATAATATACATAAATATATAGAAATATATATATATATATCGGTCGGTTCGGTTAATCGTCAATTTTTTATATTAATTAATCGAAACCAAACCGGTACCTTCAGTTTTTTAAAAACATCGAATCGAAATCAAATCGACCAATTCAGTTAACCAGTTTTTTGGTTTAGTTTCAGTCGATTTAGTTTTTCCGTTTTTTTTTGCTCACCTCTTCTTACACTCCCTTTGGGTTGTAAGAAGATTTTGGTTGAACAGGGAAGGATGGATGGCATGGAATCGAAGTGCAAATATTCACTCTATTATTTGTTTGTAAAAGAGAAAACTGTGGAATGCCAATATTGGTTGAATTGACTGGTTGAACCGGTTAACTCTCACATGGCCAAAATTTCTGGTTCATTTGATCATTGAACCGCTTGTCTACAAAAACCCTTGGCTTCACCGACGACATGGTGATAGCCAACTGTAAACCATTTGACCTTATCACTGTGTCACAAGGTAGATATTAATTATTTTTCTTATTTTGTATTTTTAGCTATTCTCGTCCATGGCCAAAATTTCTGGTTTATTTGATCATTGAACCGCTTGTCTACAAAAACCTTGGCTTCACCGATGACATGGTGATAGCCAACTGTAAACCATTTGATCTTATCACTGCGTCACAAGGTAGATATAAATTATTTTTCTTATTTTGTATTTTTAGCTATTTTCCTCCATATTTCTTTTTTAAAATAAATGACTCAGAAATTGAACCGTTTTTACTTCTTAGCCATGGGTCAACGGATGGTCAGACTGTGACACATATTTGTCTTGGGTTCGGTACAAGCACATAGCTATATGTAAGTATGTATATGTATAGGTATAAATATGTATTATATCAATTAAATAATGTATAATATGTTTTACATATATATTGTTTATATTAAGTTTGATTTATATTTATATTTTAGTTTTTAATTTTTATAAATAAAAAAAATAAAAATTGAGATTTGAGGGAAAATAGCATTTCTTTTGCAAAAGTTTCTAGGCTTCAAGGTCCTGGAATGCACAACTTTCGAAAAATTATCCAAAATGAAAAAAGATAACTCTAATTGGACAATCAAGTACAAAGTTGTGGCCTTAGAAAGTTTCAATATGTTGTAATTTGTAACCCCTGACTTGGTGACTAGGTTGAATGGATCAATGGTTCAACCACCTTGGTTGGTGAGTCTCTAATCAAGTCAACATTTTTTGACCAATTTGTGGGTTTTAGGAAAATAAAACCTAGAAAAGGGGCTAGGTGATGGTTCAGACGGTTCGATTGTTTGGATCAATGGCGGGTAGAAATCATTGTTTCATCATTGATAAAAAAATAATTCTTATTTTGCTCAATAAGATAAATATATAATAACAATGATATGCCCAATTTTCTACAAATATTCTGTATCATATTATATGTTGACCAATTTGACCTTAATGATTGAATTGCTGACAGACCCGGATGGAAAAGCAATTCCACTTTTGGTTGATTTTAAAAGGGAATATTTATAAAGGGTTTGGCTATGATATGAAAAAGATATGATATTAAAAAAATGACGGACCAATAAATTAAATCATAAATATGATGAATCAGGTGTTATTTATTAAAATTCATGATTAGATTTTGATTGGTCAAAACTCTTTCGATACCATATTTTTTCTTGGCTTGGGTATTATCAATTTTTCCATTTTTTTTTATCTCCTACAACTTAAGTGGGATTCATTCAATACTAACCGTCATCCTATTTTAACTCAACCGCCTACGAGATTACAACTCAAAACAGTTCATGATCATGCACATACATTGTTCATGTCACGTGTGCCCTTTGCTTGCACGTGACACTCTCTTGTAACCTTTTCCTTTCAAGTTTCAACTTTTATTAATTTGTGGATTATGGCTATGTTTGGTGAGAGTGCAGAAAAATGTATACATTGATGTAAATGCAAACTTGATCAAAAGAGGAATTGGTGCTGACTTGTAACTTACCAATTCGATATAATTTATACCGATTCCAACCTACCCAACAACTTAGCCAAGAAAGGAATCCCACATTAAGATTTTAGACGCAACCAGTAATGCATTTTGTATTTAAGAATAATTTCAAACTACATTGTTAGCGTCCTCAAAAAACGGAATGATAAAATAGGATTCATGTATTGGGATCTGTTTCTCACAGAACGCTCTTTACACCAATCTCACAGCCACACCCCACTGTGTATTGGGAACATACATTTCCCATGAATAATATCAAATGTGTATGGGAGATGTTCCCGATGTATGGTTGGAACATGCTATGAGATTGGTGTGGAGAGCGCTCCCTAAAGAGCAGGTTCAGACTCACTGGTTTCACCATCCAAAATAAAATTCACTGATGATGTACTGAAAAAAGGACCATTACCCAATGTTGGTTCCCACTATCTGGGACTCTTGGGATGTGTAGTTAGGTTAACTACGGTCCTAACCTTTGGCAATTTTTTGGGAAAAGTCCTCTGCAGCTCACTGCAGAATTCTGAATTACAGCCCCTCATCCCCTGTATGGTGGAGCTAAAGAATTCTGAGCTGGGCTAATCAATCATTCTCCTTTTGTTTTTTTTTTTCCTAAAATATCTGGCTCAAACTTGAACCTATATTCTCAAGATTTTACCCTTACATACAAATATCTTAAATTAACACATTCAATTGACTACATGTTTGGGCATTTAAATCATTGTTAATCATTACCTATACTACTCCTAAGAACCAATCCATGGTATTTATTTGGCTCTATAGAAGATGTTCCATGCTTCAGCTATATTTGGTTTGAAAGAAATTCATAAGAGAGAAACATAAAGTTCGTGGAAAAGTTATTAAGACAATTTGTTTCTCTCTTAGTTGCTGTCGAACCAAATATATAGCCTAAGGGGATCCAGTTTGGCTGAAATATTTCCAACGACATCATAATCATTCAGCCGGAAATTGCCCGCTGGAATTTTACCAGATATTTCTTTCTTTTAATATTTTGGCATATAATTAACCATATAAGTGTTTTTTTTTTCAATAATCTAGGGGGTTTTCTCCATTGTGAATATTTTCTTTTTCTCTTGTGATTTTCGAAAACTTTGAAACAACACCCGGTTAAAAATAAATTTATATATTATTGAAACAAAAACAGGGAAATCATATATTCTTGGTTGTGATCTTGTTTTTCAAAATTGGAACACAAATTAAAGCATGTTCTTGAGTTTATACTTTATAGTTCAAAAATGCATTTTCTTATAATGGTATGGTATTGCGTTTCATAAAATATACAATGTTCAGATAGAGATCTGATTGAATAGGTGTTTGCTCACACTTTTTTTTTTCAATTAATTTTTGTTAATTTACTGGGTCGAAATCAATTCAAATATGGCCTATATTAGCATTTAGAAGATTTTTTTGGTGTGTGTACCATGCATCAAATAGTAGCCCACATTAGCCTTTATACAGAAATAAAAGTATAAAACCATGTTTGTCTTAATTTGAAAACTTTTTTTTTGATGGTATAAAAAACAAGAATGTTTTCATTTTGTTTTGTTATTTGACAAAACCCCCTTATGGGGTGTATCAATATGTATGAATTTTATCATGAAACAAAAAGCAACAGCCACATTAGCAAAATCAATATAATTTTGGGATTTTTGGCTCTAACAACCTCTGTCCTTTGCAAAAAGGTTACTTTTTGCATAATCCTTTAAATAGTGAATAAAATAATAGGAAATGCTGATGCAACATTGTTAAACTCAAAAAACTGAAAAATTGCAAGTGGGTCCTATTGAATAAAATAAAAACTATTTAATGTATAATTAATAGATGTTAAAAATAATATATAAGTGGGTCCCACTTGAAATTATAGGTGGGTCCCACTTGAACTCTCTTCTTTTCAGAGAAAAATAAAAGGTGGGACCCACCTCTCTCTCCCTCTATCTCTCTCTTGTCTTCCCCCTCCTTTCCACTTGCCACTGCCGCTACATCTCTCAACAACGGCAGTTAACACCCCCTAGTATTTTTTTTTTGAAAAATAAATTTACTTAAAATAAATAAAAATTTTAAATTATAAATAATGTTTTGATATATATAATCGGGGTTGGGGTTGGGGTGGGGCAGGGACCTCAATCCCCATCCCCGACCCTAACCCCGATTAGGGATTCCTATTAATCCCCGTCCCCATCCTCGACCCTAACCCCGATTGGGGATACCTATTAATCCCCGTCCCCTTCCCCGCCGCACCAAAACAATACCCATCCCCGACCCGATGGAGTCGGGGAA